CACAAAGAAATAAAACTCCCCTTTTTTTACTATTGACAGTAAGTTAAGCCCTGTTAATGGGTCTGTGACACACCTCTCAAGTAACTGGAGATAGGTGAGGTTCTCTTGAGTGTTGGGATCAAAGAAGCCCTTGGTGTCATCATCAGGGTCAGACAATATCTTGTTCATTTCCTCATCAAAGTAACCTCTTTGGTATGCCACATTTACGGGCACACGATGGCTATGGACTGGATCAATTATGCCTCCTGTGGCAATTTGTGCTTCTAGGAGGCGAATTCCATGATATTTGACAATGAGATCTTTTTTTAGTGCTTGGAACAATGAAATGGTGTCTCCAGTGTACAAGCAGTTTGCTTTTCCACTCATTGCCCACCACTCTTTGAGCCACAGCTTCTTCTACTGAAAGTTTCTTGTTGTTCACTGGGTCAATGACAAAGCCAGTGGCAGCTTGGGCCTCCAGCAGAACCAGAGAAGTACCAGGAGTCAGCAGGCCACTGTTTCTGGCCTCGCAGATACTCATCACTTTTTTTGTCGATTCAACTCTGACACCTGCTATGCAGTTTGTAGCTCCAAGGTACTTTTGAATTGATTCCATTTTGTTGACATTCTCCTCAGTTACCTCCCCTTGAATAATCTGTGTGAACAACTGTTTTGATATAATTTTTGACTCATATAACTCACTGGCTGAGACCTGTTTTCTTAGTCCTTTGAACTTTCTTTCTTTGGATGACACCTCTGTAATTATTACTGTGAGTATTTCAATAATGTCCTCTATTTTCATCTTTCTGGACTTGTATTGTTGTATGAGTTGCTCCCTTTTCTGTTCTGATATGTATTCAGAGAGCAACACTTCCCACAAGGTTACTTCTTTGTTTTTAAATTTCCCTGCATTTATGGTAATAATTTTGTTCTTGAATGCCAGCTGTATTTGCTCATCTGTGTGAAGTAAATGGGATTCCTCTTTATACACGGGTAGAAGAAGTAGTCCAGTTTTAGGATCTTTTTCACATCGCTTAATCAGCTGATGATAAGAGAGGTTTTCTTTGGTATTTGGGTCAAAGTATCCTTTTGCTTCTTCAGTGGTGTTTAACAGAATTCTGCTCATTTCCTCATCCAGATATCCCCTTTTAATGGCAGTATGAATAGGTACTCTGTGACTCTGATTCGGGTCAATGATTCCTCCAGTTGCTATTTGTGCTTCAAGAAGATGAATGCCATCTCTTCTTTGAACCAGCTGTTCATTCATGGCTTCAAACAGAGATATTGTTGCATCTGTGTATGGATTTTTATAGCCAGTGACAGCTCGTTCAGCTGAAAGAAGTTGTTCATGTACATCTGGTCCAATTACTTTTTCTCTTGCTGCCTCATCAACAGTATAGAACTTGTTTTTGAGAGGATCAATGACCCATCCTGTTGCAGCTTGTGCTTGAAGCAGTAGAAGTGCATTGCCAGGCGTCAACAGATTTTCCTTTTTTGCTTCATAAATGCTCATTACCTTCTGTGATGGAGAAATCTGAATTCCAGCAATGCTTCCAGTCCCCTTTAGGTACCCTGTCACAGATTTATATTGGGTTACTGCTTCAAAGGTGAGTTTTCCTTCTTTTACTTGTTTGAATGTATTTGCATCAATGATGTCTGAATCTAGAAGTTCTTGCGCAGAGACAGGGTTTCTCAGACCCATTGTCATTTGGGGAGTTTCCAGCTTTTCAATGGTAGAAATCACTTCTGAGGTTATGGTTTGTATGGTAATCTGCTTTGTTCTGTATTTTTCAATGAATCCAAGCTGCTGATCCTCAGTGAAATAACCAGAGTGAATCAAGTCCCATAGGGAGACTGATTTTCCTGAGTAGCGTCCTACTGATACACTCACAGCTATTTTGTCAAACTCATTCTTTATCTCTGTGTCAGTATACATGTTTTCCTTTGCTCCAGTAACTTTTGATGTTTCTTTCAGTGGCAGAAAAAACAGTCCTGTTTCCTTGTCTTTTAAACATCTGCCCAACATCCCCATGTATGTCAGACTGTCTTGTGTGTTTGGGTCAAAAAAGCCTTTTGTGTCATCAGTTGGGTCTGATAGGATCTTGTTAAGTTCTGCATCAAAATATCCTTTCCTGTATGCAGCCTCAAGAGGTAAGTGAAGACATGTTTGGGGATCAATCACACCACCTGTAGCAATCTGAGCTTCAAGTAAATGGATGCCATGCTGCTTGACAATTAGTTCTTTTTTCATGGCTTGGAAAAGTGAGATCTTTTGACCAGTGTATGGATCTGTGTAACCAGTGATGGCCCTCTCTGCAGTCAAAAGTGCTTCATACATCTGTGGATTAATTATTTTTTCTCTGAGGGCTTGTTCCACTGTAAGTTTTTTGTTTTTCAAAGGTTCAACAATAAACCCTGTGGCTGCTTGTGCTTCAAGGAGGCTGAGGGCAGTCCCAGGTGCAAGAATACCATTTTTTTGTGCCTCATAGATGCTTAGCTTCTGATTGGAGGGTTGCAGTATCACCCCAGCTACACATCCTTTGCCTTGCAGGTAGGCTCTCACGCTGTCCATTTTCATCACATCAGTAGTTGTCATCTTTCCACTGATCAAGCTGTGGTATGTTTTTTCATTCACAATTCCAAGCTCATAAAGATCCACAACAGAGACCTCTCCTCTGAGAGTTTTAAACTTTAGATCTGCCAGCAGTTTTAACTCCTTACTCTCAATGATCTCTAGAATGGTGACAATGAGATGCTCAGTTGTGATTTTTTTTGACTTGAAGAGCTTGAAATATTCCTGTCTTTTGTCCTCAGAGAGATATTCTGAATTGATAAGATCCCACAGTGTTGTGTGCTTGTCCCTGAACCTGCCATACTTTACAGTGACGGTTGTCCTTTTGAATGTTTCACGAAGATTATCATCTATGTCGATTTTGTGACTTCTGCTTTTGAGTGGTAAGAGGCACAGACCTGTACTGGGATCTGTTACACATCTGGCTATGAGCTGCAAGTATGTCAGGTTCTCATGGGTGTTGGGGTCAAAGAATCCTTTGGTGTCATCACTTGGGTCACTGAGGATCTGATTCATTTCCTCACTGAAGAACCCCCTCTTGTAGGCCACATGAACAGGAATGCGATGGCTATTCACTGGGTCAATGATCCCACCAGTGGCAATTTGTGCCTCCAGGAGCCGAATTCCATGGTCTTTTACTATAAGATCTTTTTGCATGGCTTGAAACAAAGATATTGTTTTGCCATCATATGGATTCATGTAGCCAGTGACTGCTTTCTCTGCTGAGCGTAACTTTTGACAGACATCAGGCCCCACAATTTTTGCTTTAACAGCATCGTCCACAGAAAACTTTCTGTTTCCAATAGGATCAATAATGAATCCTGTTGCTGCCTGTGCTTCAAGTAGAATCAGAGCAGTTCCTGGCATGAGCAGTCGCTTCTGTCTGGCCTGGTAGATGGTCATGATTTGAGAATCAGGAAGCAGAATACCTGCAATGCTGTCTCTCCCCTTGAGGTACACATTTACATTTTCATCTTCTATTACATCCTTTACTGACTTTTTCCCCTTGTTGAGATCCTCCAGGACATTTTCTGTAATGATGTCTGCCTCCACAAGCTGGCGAGGTGTGACTGTTTCTCTGATGCCTTCAATGACTATTTTAGTCATTTTCACAGACTTTTCTATGACTTCCATTACTGTTGTAATGATCATCTCGATAGTAAGCATCCCTTCTTTATACTTTTGAATTATGTCTTGCCTCTGCTGTGCATCAAAATATTCTGACATCAGCAGTTCCCACAGAGAGACTGTCATTCCCATGTACTTGCCACATGTCACTTTCACTTTCTGCTTTTTGAGGGCCATTTTGGTTTGATAGTCAATGAAGTTGAAATTTAGACCATGTGACTTATCAAGGAGAGGGAGGAGACACAGTCCAGTGACAGGATCAATGACACACCTTTCCATCAGCTGAAGATAGGTTAGATTATCTTCTGAATTTGGGTCAAAAAACCCTTTTGTGTCATCCCCTGAATCTTCTAGGATGGCGTTCATTTCTTCATTAAAATAACCTCTCTTGAAGGCTATTTCTGTGGGAAGCCTGTGACTGTTGATTGGGTCAATTATTCCACCTGTAGCAATCTGCGCCTCAAGTAGACGGATCCCGTGTTCCTTAATGATCAGGTCTTTAGACAGTGCTTGAAACAGGGATATAGTTTCACCTGTGTATGGGTCTTTGTATCCAGTTACTGCTCTCTCAGCAGAGCTTAGCTTTGCATGGTATTCTGGGCCAACAAGTTTGTTTTTGATGGCCTCATCCACAGTGAACCTTTTATTTTCTACAGGATCAATCATGAATCCAGTTGCAGCTTGTGCCTCCAGTAAGACTAGTGCTGTTCCAGGCATCAGTATGCCTTGTTTCATGGCTTGATAAATGCTCATTCTCTGATTCGATGATAGTACAGCAATACCTGCAATACTGCCTTTGCCTTCCAGGTAATCTTTCACTGTTTCCATCAACATCACATCCTGTGTTGTGGTCTTCCCCTTCTGTAGGTCATCAAATGTTTCTTTGTTAATGATCTTTGATGCAAAAAGTTCAGTGGAGGAAATGCCTCTTCGCAGACCTTTGAAGGTGATACAAACAGAAAGGAGCAAAAGGCCTGTGTCAGGCTCCACCGTGCATTTCTCTAGGAAGTTTTGGTAGTTAAGATTTTCTTGTGAGCTTGGATTGTAGAACACTTTGAGCTCTGACATCTGGTCATTAAGCAGACCTTTCTCATAGTATCCCTTTTGAATTGCTGATTCAACGGAAATATGTGTCTTCTCAATGGGATCAAACAACCCTTTTGTGGCTATCTGTGCTTCCAGCAGCCTCAGGCCATAATCTCTTGGTACTAAATCTTTTTGCATAGCTTGGAATAAAGATATTATTTGGTTGGTGTATGGGTCTACATAACCACTGATGGCTTTCTCTGCTATGAAGAGTTTCTCCTTCATTTCTGGTCCGACTATTCCCTCTTTAACTGCATCTGCAACAGGAAGTATTCTGTTGTTTATTGGGTCTACAATTCCCACTGTGGCAGCCTGTGCTTCAAGCAGGGCTAATGCTGTTCCTGGCTTAAGCAGACGTTTTTTCATGGCTTGATATATGGTCATCTTCTCCTTTGTCTTCTCCAGAAAAATGCCAGCCACAGGTCCGTGGACTTGTGTGTAGCCATTTTGTTTCATGTCTTGATTAGCCATCTTGGCCTAAGGAACTGTACAACACAGAGCAGTTGCTTAAATTGGTTTGGATATAGCATACGCTGTAAATAGTATTAAAATGTTTGTGTCCACCAGAGTTTTATACAGTATACGACAGAGTACACCCCCTCACATTTTGTAAATATTTAAGTATATCTTTTCATGTGACAACACTGAAGAAATGACACTTGGCTACAATGTAAAGTAGTGAGTCTACAGCTTGTATAACAGTGTAAATGTGCCGTCCCCTCAAAATTACGCAACACACAGCCATTAATGTCTAAACTGCAGACAGCAAAAGTGAGTACACCCCTAAGTGATAATGGCCAAATGGGGCCCAAAGTGTCAATATTTTGTGTGGCCACCATTATTTTCCAGCACTACCTTAACCCTCTTGGGCATAGAGTTCACCAGAGCCTCACAGGTTGCCACTGGAGTCCTCTTCCACTCCTCCATGATGACATCACGGAGCTGGTAGATGTTAGTGACCTTGCGCACCTCCACCTTCCATTTCAGGATGCCCCACAGATACTCTATAGGGTTTAGGTCTGGAGACATGCTTGGCCAGCCCATCACCTTTACCCTCAGCTTCTTTAGCAAGGCAGTGGTCGTTTTGGAGGTGTGTTTGGGGTCTTTATCATGTTGGAATACTGCCCTGTGGCCCAGTCTCCGAAGGAAGGAGATCATGTTCTGCTTCAGTATGTCACAATACATGTTGGCATTCATGGTTCCCTCAATGAACTGTAGCTCCCCAGTGCCAGCAGCACTCATGCAGCCCCAGACCATGACATTCCCACCACCATGCTTGACTGTAGGCAAGATGCACTTGCCTTTGTACTCCTCACCTGGTTGTCGCCACACACACTTGACACCATCTGAACCACATAAGTTTATCTTATGAAATCCATGTCTTTAGTCAGCTTGTCTGCAGCAAACCGTTTGCGGGCTTTCTTGTGCATCATCTTTAGAAGAGGCTTCCTTCTGGGACGACAGCCTTGCAGACCAGTTTGATGCAGCGTGCAGCGTATGGTCTGAGCTCTAACAGGCTGACCCCCCACCCCTTCAACCTCTGCAGCAATGCTGGCAGCACTCATGCGTCTATTTCCCAAAGCCAAACTCTGGATATGACGCTGAGCATGGGCACTCAACTTCTTTGGTTGACCATGGCAAGGGCTGTTCTGAGTGGAACCTGTCCTGTTAAACCACTGTATGGTCTTGGCCACTGTGCTGCAGCTCAGTTTCAGGGTCTTGGCAATCTTCTTATAGCCTAGGCCATCTTTATGTAGAACAACAATTCGTTTTTTCAGAACCTTAGAGAGTTCATTGCCATGAGGTGCCATGTTGAACTTCCAGTGACCAGTATGAGAGAGTGAGAGCGATAACACCAAAGTTAACACATCTGCTCCGCCTTCACACCTGAGACCTTGTACCACTAACGAGACTCATGACACCAGGGAGGGGAAACGGCTACTTGGGCCCCATTTGGCCATTATCACTTAGGGGTGTACTCACTTTTGTTGCCAGCAGTTTAGACATTAATGGCTGCGCGTTGCGTTATTTTGAGGGGACAGCACATTTACACTGTTATACAAGCTGTATACTCACTACTTTACATTGTAGCCAAGTGTCATTTCTTCAGTGTTGTCACATGAAAAGATATGCTTAAATATTTACAAAATGTGAGGGGGTGTACTCACTTCTGTGATATACTGTAGATAGGTTTTTTTAAATTCAAAACACTGTACTGTCCTGAAAATGATCAGCAATCCCATATATTATAATATTTCCTAGTCTTTCTTTTTATTAGCTCATTATATTAATGTCTGTGCCATATTTAAGTCAAAAATGATGACAAATTCTGCACTTGCCAGTTAAATAGGTTTCATTATCTGTCTAATACAAAAATAATACCAGTAATACATTATAACCTTCATTATGGTTATAATGTTTGTTTTGTTTTGTTTTAGAGAGGTGTTGATTTTATTTTATTTTTGACCTGTCTGCTGTTGAATGCTGTTGTGTTATACCTAGAGGTGTTTTTAATTTGTATCAGGGGAGGGGAGAATATATATTGGAAACACCCATCTTTATAATGTAATACAATTCAACAGTAGTACAGCATCTATTGCAGGACTATTGTTAGAGTGCATTAACTTTAGTTAGTGGTACCTAATAAAATGACACTTAAGTGTTTTTTTCATTTAGTAAACATGAGCTTTACTGATGCTTTTGCTGAATTATGTTTTTTCCACTGTAATGTAAAAACTGTTCTCAAGGGAATGGAAAAGCACTGCATGGAAATGCACCTTTCCCACCATTGCCCTTAGGGCATACTTATGTTAATAGAAGTACACTGGTAAATGTGTGAGTCATAAATGAGTGGTTCATATTTAATTTCATGAAGTTTCAAAGTAATTAATCATCCCCCTCCTATCACTAGCCAGTGTGTAAGAATATAATGGTAAAAGTGTAGTTTATCACATCCAACTTTAATATGGTTTCCTCAAACATTAGTATTCGATGTTTTAGTATATCTGTCTTCCAAAAATATATCAAACCTTTTGGTTTCTTTATGAGCCTCAGATGCTCCTGGAAGTTCCAAATTCCAGGTTCCTAGGCTTTTACAACCAAAGCCCCAGGGCTTTGAAACACTGCCCCTGTAGAAATAAGACAAACAAAATGTGTTGTTTATGTCTCAAACAGGCTGAGCTTCAACTGCTTGATGTTGCCTCCTTGAGGACAGAGCTTTATCACCTTTACTGGCCCTTAAGAGTGCACATTGGCTATGTTCCCCGGGGATGTGCGTTGGGCCTGGTGTCCATGCACTTTTGTAGGGCATATTCGGGCCCTTAGTCAAATCGCTTCTGTACAAGCATGTTTATGATTCAATATTGTCATAATTTTATGATAAATTCTCCATTTTAAATCATGTGCTCAAAATATTTATTGCACCTCTCTATGTACATAGTTTATGTAGTTGTTTAATTAAACAACTAATTTAAACTTGAATTGATACACCCATGCACCAGATGTCAGATTACCAGTAAAGATAAAACTAAAGCTAGACTCTTTTGGGTACATGACACATGAATAAAAGTATTTATTTAGTCAATTATTCTAAAACCAGCAGTTTGAAATACCATTAATTCAATAAAAAAGAATAAATAAATTGAGGTATACCTAGTAAGCACCTCCCAGCAACTCTGACATTCCAGTTTTCTTGCATGCTTTACAGAAGTAAAGCACTTTAGTGCAAATATTTTTTAATGCTTTGATCAAGTGACAATAGTCTTAAGTCCTAAGTAATGTACATAGTGTGCATAGACAAAAGTTTTCATTACATCTTTCATAAGCAACATGTATTTACTTTGGCATGAGGAAATGTACAGTAGTGCTTCAAAACTGGAACAGCCCGATGCCCATTGTTGTAACAACAGGCATGGAAATACTTGAACCACAAACACTATGTTCTAAACCCCTTAAATTTCGTCATTAGAATTCTCATGGCAAAGCAAGTTTATTTATATAGCACATTTTCATACGCACTGGCAATTCAAAGTGCTTAACACAATGCACACAGAAAAATAAAATGTTAAAATACATATAGTACATAGAAAAGATTAGAAGGCAAATTACATAAAACATTAAATATGACTTAAAAGCAACAATTACATTAGGGTACAAGTCACAACATGCACAAGTAGATACCTAGTACTTTTAGTATAGCTGTGTCAAAATGTGTCTCATTATTTTCAATAAACTTGTACCCCTTTAGTTCAGTCTTCCCAAGATTAACCTTTGAGTAGTTTAACAACAGAGGTGGGCCTACTTTCATCCAGAAAATTTTAAACTTCAGTGTCTACACAGTTAGGTAAACAGCACAATGAAGTCAAATGGTCATTGGGTACTTTGAAGGGGACACTGTATTTAGCCTACTAAGTTTTTGTAGCTTATTTTTTTGGTGCTAAACAGTGAACATGCATGTAGCTTATTTACTGAGGAGTCACAGTGTGAAATATGTTTCTTGATTATGTCAACCTTATTGCTATAAAGTTGCACTTTCTTCTTCGCTTTGTTTTGGTCTACAGCTGCGCAATGGCACCAGGTCCTTATAAATAGCCATCTATTCAGATGAACACTGCTGCTTCTGTGCTCATTTACATAATCAGTGTTGGTAAATATGCCTCTAAATCGAAAAATTGCATAACCATAATATTTTGCACACCTGATGGTCATCTGCAGCAGGTTTAGTAACAATCACCCATTAATCCTTAAAGTAAATGTAAATGAGAAGTGACAGTATTTAAAGGATAAAGCCGGTGATTTCCTGTTTTTATTTTCACAAACCAACAATGGATTTTGTGGTGTCTCTGTCTGTTGGTGTGGTTATGTGTATTGTAAATGGATCATTTGTATGCACAGTTGACTCTCTCTTAATTCACGGGCTGTAAAATTTGATAGCTGGTCTCAGACTTTGGAGCTCTTTTGAAAAAAGGCCCTCACATTTTTTGTTAGAAAGGAACGTGTCACCCAGCAGTGGTGTGGCACACTGGTGTTTTTTAAATAGGTTTTGGACAATAGTGGGGGTCTATAGCACAGCAGACAACAGGCTAGACCAGGGTCAGGATTCATTACGGTGAGTACACCAAATACATTGTTGGTTTTAGTCCCTCTATGTGTGGAAAATAACAAAAGCTCCAAAACAAATCCAGCCTTAACCTTTAAAAAGAAATGCAACCGCCACCATAACATTCAAGTTTGGAGATGTCCTGTACTGTTACATGACCACATGCAAAAAAAATGTAAAGAGATTATTGTTTTTGAGAAACTCTTTCCACCCATTTGCTGCTAGGTCTGTAGTTCTTTTATGTGATACATGACGTCATTGCTGCCTGTAGGAGTGAATGTAATCACTTAGCAAGATGGGTGTGGAAGGAAGCTCAGCCAAGAAACTCACATACCTGCTCCCTCTTTTAATATTCAGTTTAGATGGTAAATCAGGATCGCAGAAAAAGATCTACTCTGTATATTATTTCCATGTAACTTACTGTGGATTTTTGCTGCATGCGATGGAATTCACTTGCTGTCAGTAAAGCATTCTTTCACACTAGCTTGTGATTACCATGCAGTTAAAATGGTGCTCTCCTTTTATTATAGTTTCAGTGGACAAAGGTGTGTAGGTCACTGTGCTGGAGTTATGGCATTATGGCTATGAGAACCTAGGCCAAGTGACACAGACCTGTGAAGTAGACTGAAGCCTGTTGTACAGTAACCACAGCAGTGGTTAGATATGGTAAATGGAGCCAGAGATTTCCATCTGCAACTGCTGAACTTTCTTTGAGCTGTCACCCACTTTGTAAATGTTTGAATGTTTTTAAAGATATTGGACGTTCACTTTACATTTATTACACCATGAGAGTTTGCATATCATTTTATTATATTTACTTCTGAAGGCAAATAATTAAGCTGCATGAAGCTAAAGAATTACAACATAGTAGCTTCATTGTCTGATGTGAACAGCAAACAGTGGTACTTAGGCAAATTTACATTTCTGCCCTCAAGGAGATTGGACAGTTTAATACAATAGTAGGCATAAATACTGTATATATAAATACTTCATTTTAAATTCATCTTTGGTTCTGAAACATGGGGCAAAAGGAGGCTGTGTCTTTATTTGTGGCACTTATTTTTGTCTCAAAAAGTCTGTACCTACAGAAATTAACACACTTTTTGCACACCTGTTCAGTCTAATGCAATGTGGCAAAGACCTGCCATAACATCTGTCTTCACGAAGCTTGTAAAGTTCAGAAAGTGGATCTTTTGTCAGGGAATGCATAATGATATCTAATGCTGATTAAGGTTAAACCCACTTGTTTAAATAAGTCTGTCCCTTTGAACCTTTGTGCCTGGAAGCAAGGTGTTGTACAACATAAAAATTGGCATAAAACTGCTGATTTTTACTTCTTTTTACTCTCTCCTTTGGGTTGCATACAGTATACCTGAGCCATTGTGTCAAACATATAAAACATGGCAATCAAGACTTCATTGCATTACATCTTTGACACCATGCCAGCAAAGAAACAAAAATGGGAGTGTATGTAACAGTGGAAAATGTTAGCTTGTCATTGTGTGTCAACAGCCTTGAGGGAGATGTGGACACAGTGTTTAGACATGTCAAAAGCCTAAACAGAGACAATTAGTCTCTGCACAAAACCTACAAGTATGGTCAAGACAAGACATTCAGTCCTACTTTGCATAAAACCTACAAGTATGGTCAAGACAAGACATTCAGTCCTACTTTGCATAAAACCTAAAAGTATGGTCAAGGGTAATCAGTGAGGATTGTTTGCTTCCCCTCCTTATCATTTGGGTGTTGGCTGACAGTACAGGACACACAGTCCAACTTGTCCCACTCAAAAGAAAGTAAGCTACAGTTTAAATATGAATAATATGAAGAATATAAGAATATGGTTAAATTAAAAAGTGAGCCTTTCTTTCAAATGCTTGGCTCTTTTCCTTAGAAGTTAGAAGCCATTCATGCTTTTTCCATCTCTAGTCTTTTAAAAAAAACTTTTTTTTTACCTGAGGTCTCTGGAATGCACAAAGTTCCAAATCTGTGCTGATTAGTAGTCGAACCCAGCTGGTATGAGAGACAAGGCCAGTTGAAATCCTCCCAGTATCTCAGGGATAGGCCTCTCTGCTCACTGGTCATATATGAAGCAAGTCCAACTGCTAAGTCCCTCCCTTCCTGAGGAACAGCCTCCTCTCCTCAGGCTGTGATGGATTGGACATCTCTTTGCCCTTAGCTCAGGATGCCAGGAATTCTTTTAGACTTCCTCAGTGTGTGTCTGTTGTGCTCTTAAACAATAGCAACATGCAAATTGCGCCTTTGTAACTAAACAGTAGTTGAGGAGATTTTTTAAATGCAAAAACATGAATTCAAAGGCACAGTAGTTATTGTTGTATTCTGGTCAAACACAGGCATCTTATAGCTTGTTTGTCTGTGATTTGTATTTTCCCAGTGGAGATACTTTTACTGAAAATGAGTCATGTATGCAGACACTCAGCTTCCTTATCAAACCAGCCATGTTGTGACAAGTAGAGCTGGATGCCCTGTGCTCACAGTGCTTTGTCTTTGTGTCAGAGCTTATGTCTGGTTTGGCAAGTTCTCACCCATGACTAGTAGAAACTGGCCTGAGGACCCATTCTCTGACAAATTGACAAATTAACAAACAAACAAAAAATGAATTGTGTCACAAAACAGACAACTTGTACAGGGATCATTAATCACGTTATAAATATGACACTAAAGTTTAAGGTTGCTCAGTAACTAATAAACAGTTGGGAATCCTTTTGCCCAGGTGAAAGTTACTGTTCAACAGTTGCTAAAGTTCCACCTAAGCATAAGAACACTTCAAATTGGTGGCTCAAAGGGACAGAAGTAGCCAATTAAATCATTTTTTAGTTTTGTTCCCATAACCTGATACCTGGTACAGCAACTATAAGTCATGTTTTCTTGGCCATGGTTGTATATCCTTTAGTAACAGCTTAAATTAAAGTTTGCTATTGAAATTGTAGATCACATTTTCAATTTTATTTTAAGAGGGGTAACATATTTTATCACTGAAGATAAAACTCTCTCAGCTGTAGAAACAAGCATGTATATACATTTCTCTAGCAGAAATTTCAACTTTTCCAGACATAGTCTGCAAAGTTTTACATATTAATATTATGTCAAAAGACGTAATAGATAATTATCATAATTTGTGGTTGCATGAGAATGATAAATCACACTAGTCATGTGAAAGTCAAATGCCAACCTAGAGTAGAGTGATTTATTCTTGTTGAGGAGAAAGTGAGTAGGTGCCGTACATTTTTGGCTACCAAGTGATTTCCTCACCTGTGAGTGAAACTTACCTTCTCACATGTACAGCATCTTCCAATACCACTTGTGATAGTTTAAGACAGTTGCGGTGTCTGAAGAAGGTTCTGAAGAAACAAGAATGTGTTAGAAATGCCGGTGGGGGTGGAGGAGTGGGGTCATTGTTTATTTGTGGAAACACACCTTTGCATGTTTTAGAACCAGAATGACAAGTTCTTAACAATTTGTAATGGCATTGTATAATTCTTGTGTGGACCAAAAATGAAATCAGTGGATAAACAGCTTTGTTTTGTCAGCCAACGTTTAAAGTTTGTCAGATGCTCATTGGGATGAGAATAAACATGCACTTCAATCTATGTTAGCATAATGATGGTAGTGATGGCACATTTGTGGTTTATTAAGCAAAATGTCAACAAAAGCTGTGCTTTGACTATATCAGTCACTTCATTAGGGTGAATTGGATACCTGAGGAAAACACAAACTGATTTCAAGTATTACTCAGATTCTTTACTTAAAGCTACTCGACCTAATTTCTTTTCAGTCTAGAGTCTGACTCAAAACAAAGTGACACCATGAGGCACTCCTAACTGCTCTCTGCCTCCCTCCTGTTTCCTAGCAATGGCATAAAATATGGATGCCTGATGGAGACAAACTTTCCAAAATGGAGCCTACAGTCTGAAGACTAACAGGTAAACTTGACAGTCCAGTAGAGCACTCAGGTTACACAAAGCACTAATGTTACACAGAGCTTGAAATACTCCCAAATTAAAATAATATAAATTCAGTATGAGCTATAATTATTAATGATGCATTAATCACCAGTTTTATTAGCAATTTTATTGTTAAATATTATGCATTCTGTGTATATTCTAAATGTTCTTCTATGTATTGTTGAGTAGTTTAATCTGTAAGAGCGCATCATAAATTCTACACCAGGTACCATGTGCAGAATTTGAAGTTTATCTGTGTAGGGAGAAAGCAACAGACTGCCCAGTTCAGCTTCTCTGATAAGAGCAGTAAAGACCAATTTGGGACTTTTAGTACCGGTAATACTACATTCCTTTTTTTAGCCTTTGGTTGAAAGTGGATGTGTCTCTTAGCCAGCCATCGCCAGACTAATACTTAATCTGTGTGTCTCCAAAGACTGAGGAGGTGTTGAATTTCTCAGATGATTTTGTTTTTATCTCTTAATCGTTCTTGTTCTTCACCCTACTCAACACAAATATTTCTAAGCACATGGCTTTTACTTCTCCTCACATGCTGTTTAAACAAACCTGAAGATGACACTTGCACACAAAGAGGAACATGTTGTAGTGTTTACACAAGTAATTGCTCTTAAGAAAATAGGAATGAATAAAGCAGTGCTGAGCCACAGAGACTTTGACCAAATTAGTGTGTTGACATGTTATGTCTTTATATGTTGATACTTTTATATTACAGTATTACAGCTGTTTTCAGCAAACTAGAATATACTGATTGTGTGCTAGTGCAGTGACCCCGTGTCAGTGAACCTTGTTGGCAAATGTCTTTCATTTTCACAGTTTGCCTGCCAAACATGCTGCCTTCTTCCACTGAACTTGTAAATACAAGTCTGGACAGGCTTTAAAGGACTGTCGGTTCCTCAGGCACACATTTATAACTAACTGTGTAGAAGATAAGATAAGCACAGAAAAGGAGTGGCACTTTGGAAAACAAGTTTAAAATCTTGTTTCTGCCATTTTGAATGGATCTGGATGTTTAGAAGAGCTTTTCAGGATGTGGGAAATTCACTTGGGAATTTGGGAATTTATTTCAGAAAAACATACATACTGTATGTTGATCTCAGTGGCCCAAATGTGTTGTTACATGAGATTCAAACTAAGGCTTGGTCTCCACCTCCTCCTGAGGAACCCTCTACAGCGGATGGAAACACCATGGATGGGTGCTGATAGTCTGTCACTACAAACAGCCCTAATATTTGATCTAAGATCAAAATTTAAGTACTGGAGGCATCAATGGTGAATACACTGAACCAACTAACCTTTGAGGCATTTAGCCAAAGAGGAGGAAGAACAGTTTATGTGTTGTCCAGTATTCAGAACTTTGGCAAACCCACCACAGCTGCTTTCTGCAGCAGGTGTCTTTTTACCATTTTATCCATAGTAAGATGGTAAAATGTGTCCATGTGGCTTTATTGCACCAGTAAATACACCTAACTGTGCTATTTAAAAAAACACAAATTTAACCCATCACCATTTGGCTATTGTTCATTTTTTGTTATAATTTATAGAAATTACTCTTCTGCTGCTTTCCTTTCAGTTAACTCTAATACCCCTTGTCATGTGTTTTTTTGCCAACTTATGAGCAAAAGACTTCAGTTCTCCACATTGTTCAACATCCTGCAGGATATTGCTCTGGACTTTCTCAGTCTTTCTGAAACAAATGCGCCAGGCCAGGAGTGTTTTAATGGTGTTTGCATTGTCTGTTCATGTTGGCACCCCTCCAGCTCACTCTGCTCCGAGAGCCCCTGACCAGCCTATGTCATTAATACAGCATGTGTCCACGTTTCTTCAGAAGCACCAAAAAATAAATTGGTGACTATGCTAATGTCATTTTTCCAGATAATTTAAAATCATATACTCTGACAGCATAGTCTCTTTATCAGGCTTTGCACTGCTTGCATGCAAAGCCTGTCCCATACCAAATCCTCCTCATACTCACTGTAATCCTAAACCCAGTTCTTAGTCTGAACCTCACCCCTTGAAGAGGATCTGGCTGCACAAAAATGTGACTCTACAACTAAAAAAAAAAAAAAAAAATTCCATTCTCAGAATGATTGAAAACCACACAACTGAGCACATATGTCACTAATGTGAGAAACATTCTGTTGTAACCAGAGTCAGAATATTCAGTAGCTTTGTCCCTTAGGCACAGTGACATAGCACAGAGTTTGTTGCTACATATGTTTTTTAATCTTTGACTGAAAATTTGCTGTGTGTGATTCCTTTAATTTTGACCGCTGGAATCATTCAGCACCGTCGGTTCCAGGCACAACATGCGGTGTGTTCTGCATTCCACAGCCACACTGCACAGGTTTTATCGGGTGGATCTCTGGCACACCTAGGCTTTCTTTTCACATGCAACAGAGAACAAAAGTCCTGACAGCTCTCTTCCTGACTGCTTGACCTGTCAGGTGTTTGCTCACTGCATAAACCCACATGTCAAAAGTGCTTCACTGTAGAAGAATGAATATGAAGCAAGAGTCATTAACTTCTAAATCCATCTTGTTGCCACCTTTGATGAAAGATTGCTAAAAACATTAGGTGAAAAAAAGCATGGTGTATTGTATGGTGGGTTTGGGAGGTTTCACATATATTTGAACAATGTTTATGTGCTGTATATGTTTTTGTTCACAGTTTCTTTGCATCTAAAGAACAATTCTTGGACTTTTTCAGCTATATGCTAAGACGTCAGGCAATTAGAAATATTCAAGATAGAGATGCAAAGATATTAAATGGCCTAAATAGAGTGGTAGAAAAAACTTTCAAATTCCATACTTAAAGATGAATTCAGACTGTACACTGCTTGCTCAGGATTAAATGCAGACAGCAACTAGTTAGTAGCCAAGCAATTAGCAGCTAAAGAGCCAGGAGTTAGTGGACCGCAGCTAAAAGGAGAGTGCCTAATAAGATTCATGGATATAAAAACAACTCTGAATGATTCTCACTGTGTAAATAGGCAATGGATTGCTAACAGGTCCGCCAAATAAACTTCACAGTGTCTCATCTTGGTAAACAAGGTATTGTCCAAAAGAGATTAAGCATAGCTTGTCAGGTGAAGACAGCTGACTAAGTTAGTTTCCTCTGTTATCTGACATTATCAGATCATTCCATCTGTTTGACTAAAGGTTAAGTGGTTGAAAAACAAACCACAAGCTGATGTAACTTGGAACCTCTTTCTTAAGGTCTGAGCAACTGTAGTGTTAGTATCCACAGCACGTCAATTCATGGAACCGCGCTCTCGTCGCACCTGCCAGCAAAGACTAGAAACATGAAACACTTGTTAGTTTTTTTTGTGAAAACATCTTCAGTGGATTTCAGAAGAAACCAGTAATTGCATAAGTGTCATGGTCGCACTGTTTAAGAAAGCAAAGACAACAAAACGATCATGTTTAGCTCATAGGTGATTTTTGCAGCTTAAAAAAGATCCAAAGCAACAGAATGAATGTTATATATACAAACTGTTTTGACTTACCAACAGTGGCCCCTAAATTAATACCTGTATGAGAGATGTATGTGCCATACGGGGCAAGCTCTGGCCCTTGACGGCAGCTGGTGACCTCTGAGGGTTGTGTAATAGAGAGCTGAGTTCATGATGGCACATCCAGACTAGCATGTCTGAACTACACCTTCACTCACCCATCAGTTCACCTCTGTTGTCGCACCACGATGTGCTAAAAACACACACTGAATAAACGGTGATGTTAGATTGTTTCCAAAAACTACCATCCTTATCCAGACAGATGACACACTCCTGAGAGAAGCAATAGCTGAAATAAACTCTGCCTTTGCCACCCGCAACATTCAGTGCATCTTGTGAAATTTTCAGCACTTATAGCACTATAGAGCATATTTTTTTTATGAGTGGGTCTTCATTTTGTGTGTTCTTGTGCAGTGCGGCTGTAACATGCTAACAAATGTAGTAAAGGCAGGAAACACTGCTGGCAAACGAGCATGGATTTAAACAATGTGGGTTTCAAAATTAAAATAAAAAAGTGGCTTTGCAGATGTTTTCTGAGGAAGGAAATGTATCCAGCACCTTTCCCTGTTCTCAAGGATGTGCACAGTGTGTTTTGGTGAATCACTAAATGCAAGCAAAAATGTTGTTTACAAGAAAACTCCACAGAACACCTTTAAAATGCTGCTGACATTCATATTAATAACCCACCAATATAAGTATATAACAGTAACGGGGTTTTTTAAAACATAATTTGTACTTTTAGTTGTGATACTTAAGGGAATGTAAAGAATCTTAATACTTCTTCCACTACTCATGTTTGAACGAACGTTTCCTCTAAGCTGCTTGTGTGTTCACTTTTACTGATGTCAAAGTTACAGCGAATAAGAGGCTGATGTGACTCTTTGAAGTTCCACTTTTCCTGCTTTTAGGAGACAAACAAGCATAATGTGTCTCTATCTCTTTAGTCATGTACTTTGATTGGCACTGAATACAGCACACCCACAGACTTTGGCCGACATGGCTTTACTGATGATAACTGAATTTTGGAAACATGTTGCACAGTACAACAGCTTGTTGTAGCCCTGATTTGGCCATGATTCAGAGAGCCCTCAAGTGATTTTCAAACTATGCAGAATCTGTACTGCTTTGAAAAGAAAAAAATCACAATAAAAGCAGACCACATTAGACAGGAGAACTTCTGAGTGTGTAAGATCTGCCAGATGTTTTTGCAGCTTTAAACAGGCTGTAAGTTCTATTCAGCTTGTGCTGACTTGAGTTCTTTATCCTCCTAAATTCTTTAAGCTTTTTTTTTCTTGAATTGAACCCTCTGTGTGGACTGTGTAACCAAATGTGAACATTTTGCTGCCTGTCAAAGAGTACTGTTAAACCTGCTGTGCCTGCTCTGACTGTGTTTTCTCAGGGTGAAGACCTGGGCCCAGATTGATCAAACTGCTGAAAGTGAATGTGCAGACTTCAGTGAAATAAAAACAGTAGAAGTCCTACACTTTCACCCCTACTCACTAACTGAAGAGTAAAAAGTTGTTTATCTAATTTCTTACATCTTATGATATTCTTAAACTTAATATCATTCATTCCAGATGGGTCCTGAATTGAAGAAGATACTTCCTGTTTGCAGCACAGAGACAGAGGTGAGCACATACAGTACCTACCTACTAGTACTAATCTTGTATAGTGTTGTAGTCTTCAGATGATCTTGCAGTGCCTTGATCCAACTCCATTTGGACTATTTGGTCTAGCTTTATATCTTAAATAATTTAGGTTATTGTTCCATATGTGAAGAAGAGGTCATGCTTTTGAGCTCAGACTATGGACACACATGATCAGTGAGGGATGGTTAGGGAGTGTGTCTCTGCTCCCCCCTGGTGGGCAGGATTTTAAAATGTACTTCTCAGCCTCAACTTGAGAGACTCGTTGAGATCACAAGCTGAATGTATGATTCTCAGCAGCTGTGTTTTCTGTCATATAAATAAATGTGTATTAGGAAGAAAGAAGTAATTCGAGGAGGGGTCTGGGAACATCACTTAACCTACCCAGAGCAAAAAGGACTTTATACTTTGCTTTAAACTTTAAAAGTTCAGTGAGCATTTTGATTCCTACAGGTGGTTCACATTATTTTCCTTCTTAAATGTTAAAATGTGCGATAAATTGTTAAATATAAGACATACTGATATATCATTATCGCTTTCTATTTGAAATGTGACTCATTTAAAAAAATGTTATACTTTGAGAACACTACCTGTCAATAAAGATTGGTTGAAAAGTAAAATAGTCACTACCAACAGGATTAGACCTAAAATCACATTCACAATTCTGATAGTTGAAACTGTTTATTTACAAATTAGTAAATAATTAGGTAATGGCAAAACTCTCTCTCATCAAGTTAACATTAACAGTTAACAAGGTCTGAAGCCAAAATTCAGCTCAGTTTATTACAAATTCTGAGACTAGAAATATAAAATAATTTTTGCTTTTATCAGCAACAAACCACCAAATCCAAGCTTTTAACAGCACATTAACAAGGAACAGTGCAGAAACATTCATGCCAGCAGCAAAATGAACAGGTTTGCAAACAAGCTGCAAGGTCATCTTCACCCAAGAACAGAACAAAATGAAATCCTCTCCTTCAGAAACAAAAGGAGCAGATACTTGGCTCATCATCTGGCTCTCTGTGCTCTAATCCAGCTCTGCTATGTTTGTCTCTTCGTGTTTGGCCGGTGGTTGTGGGTGCTTCACTGGCATCAACTCCTCCTGGAGTGGGGGTGGTTGGAGGGTGAAGAAGACCTTTCTGGATTCCTGACACATTAAACAAAAAATGTAATGTTTATTACACACTCATAGACAGGATATGACACGGTAGGCCCCTGGGCACAGACACATAGTGTCGCCTTTGAAGATGTATTACATATCTTTGGGATCTTCTTACATCTTTAGTCACTTTCTTTGTAGTAGTTTTGCATCTCCTTGCAGTTGTTCAGCATCTCTGAGTGGACATTTTGTCTCTTGGTGGACACTTTGCATCTCTTTATAGTCATTTTGAATCGCTATATAGTCATACTTCTATGTCCATGCAGTTGCACACTGCCTGTCGGGGGACATTTTGCATCTCTTTTTAGTCATTTTTGCATCTCCTAATGGTTGTTATATCTCATTTCAGCCATTTTTTGTCTCTTTCTGTGATATTTTGCAGGTCAGCCCCTAGGGGCCCCTTGACTCCTGGGTCAGTGCTTAGTCAGGCCATTCACTAATCCCTCCCTGTACACCTCATAGAAGGCCATAGTAGAAGTTTATTTTGAAACTATTTGGTGTACAGTATAGAAAAGAGAAACAGTCACTTACAGCAGGGGGTCCAGGCTCTGGTGGAGGTGAGTGATGCACTGCACCCTGCTGGATTTGGGGCAAGATTAAGGGCCCTTGGAGGCCATCTTCGCACAGCCCAGCAGGTACAGGTGGCAACCACGGCACGCTGAGCATGACATTTGGACATGGCACATAGCTGCTCAGGCAATAACTGGGCACCCCGAATGGAAAGTGAATAAAAGGCAGAGGTACAGGTTGCCCTAATTCACTGATGTAAGGGGCACCTGGAAAGAAAGTGGACAGATTTTGTCAGTGAATGACAAAGTACATTTAATGAAGTACTGTACTTGAGTACAGATTTGAGGTACTGATCCACTACAGTTCAGAGGGAAACTGTACTTTTTACACTACATTTATTTGACAACTTTAGCCACTTTACAGATTCAGGTTAGAAACACAATGTATAATCATCAACTCAGTAATTGTAGGTTAAGATAAGACTTTACTGATTGCTGAGGGGAAATTTGCAAGCCCAGCTGGATGTATCTAGAGTAGCCTCATTCAAATTAGGCCCACTTTTAGCTGCAGTATTAGTGATATTTTACTTTTACTGCATAATGTAAAATGCATTATTCTGAAATGGGCTGTTTTGCAAAATGAGTATTTTTATTTTTGGTATATTTTGGCACATACTTTTGTACTTTCGCTGAATTTGAATGCAGAAATTTTAGTAGTAACCAAGTATTTCTACACAGTGGTGTTGGGACGTTTAACTAAGTAAAATACAGAGTCATAACGTTATCTAATATTGCAGGGCAGAGGTCATGCTACACTTTCACATTGCCATTTTGATGGACAAGGTCATAAAATTTCTGTCAATTTGTTATTACCCATCAGTTTTATTCTTTTTTTTATGATAAGACATAGCTAATAGCATTTAATTTTCATTCATTTAAATTTAAATGATTAATATAGGCTACTGAACAAGCTTATGTGCAGCCAATTTTCATGTCAACTTCACATGAAATAGATGGCCGTTTTTTCTGCAGTGACAGTGGAGGCCACTAAAAAGACTGCAGCCATGAGACAGTTACCATTAAAAGAACTCATTTACAACGGGTTAGGCTAACTGAATTACCTCAGCTGACCTGCTGTACCCTGTCTTCTGCAGAGGCGATTGCCAGTAGGTTTCTCATGGCCAGTGGTGGAAGAAGTACTCAGATTGTTTACTTTTAAGTAAAAATAGCAATGCCTGTGTAAAAGCACTCAGTTACAAGTAAAGGTCCTGCATTCAAATGGTTAAAAGTACAAAAGTATTAGCATGAAATATACTGAAAGTACCAAAATTGAAAGTACTCATTATGCAGAATTGCACAGTTCGCATATACTATTTATTATTTATTTATTATTGCCATCCCTGCTAAGCTAGTGGTTAAGGCGCCGTGCTTTCGCCACAGCGCCCCGGGATCGAATCCAGGTTGCGTCAGGAAGGGCATCCGGCGTAAAACATGTGCCAAATGTGCGAGTCGATTCGGTGTGGCGACCCCGAAACGGGAAAAAGCCGAAAATGACATTCAATTATTTATTTATTTATTATTGCATCCATAACATCTAATGTTGCAGCTGATAAAGTTAGAGCTAATGTTAACTACCTTATATATTTATACTTTGAAGTACTTTACTTGCTGGGTAGCTTGTGAATTTCCCACCAGGGATCAATAAAGTCTGATGATTCTATTATACTTTGTTTTATTAATCTCAGTCTGAAAAGTAACTAATAACTAAAGTTACAAAGAACCATGCTTTTCTGTGAAATGAAGTAGAAGTATGAAGAAACAGAAAATGGAAATACTCAAGTACAGATAAATCAAAATTGTGCTTAACTACAGTACTTGAGTAAATGTACTCAGTTACTTTCCGCCTCTGCTCATGGCCTGTTATAATTTCAGAATCAGAGTCTCTTTCTTGAAGTGAGTAGAAGTTGCTCTAAACGTGAGATTTCCCTATTCTGAGCACTGAGTCTGCTGCATGCGCTCCTTCCACACCAGCTGCACCTGTCTGTGACCCGCTGCGGTCACAGACGTGCTCCGTCCAGTCCATGGCTCGTCAACGCGCTGTCTGCTCCTGGGTAGCGCGATGTCCTTTATCCACCGCATCATTTCTTTTCTTTCTTTCTTTTTTTTTTTTTTTTTACCTCGTTTAAACGCCATAACAAATACTGGGCTTTTAGCAGCCTAACTTTAAGTTACTGTAGATCATCCTCAGTGTTGTAACCAAAATGATAAGACGGCCTTCGGATTTTCCGTTATGATTTAAAAAATTCTGTTAGTGATGGAAAATATTCGGTTAACGCGACCTTAGTTGGAGCAGAGCCCCTGGTTACACTTTACCCAGGTGGTACAGTAATCTGAGGTTTTTAACCTCATTAACTAATCTCTTATCTAGTTTATTTTTGTTTATTTTGCCTAGATCTGTTGAACTAATTCTGCTATGCAAGTGGTATTTAGTATTATGACGAATGCAATGTTTATAATTATTACTATAATGTCATCAGATCTATTTTTGTCTCAGAGTGATTTTTAGTTATGTAGATACACACAGTATAGAGACCGGTTTTCATCAGAATTAATTTGACAGTTCTAGGTGAAAGGTTAACCAATCAGAAGCGTTGTCCCGCC